GGGGGGGGCGGAAGGCTCCGCCTGAAAGAAACTCTGATCATGGTGATAGTTAAGTGTGTGGTCGTTATGTAATGGTCACCAGGATGATGGTGCAAGTATATGGTTCTAGCTACAGTGGTGTCAAGTGTTTTCATAGCAGTTTTCGTTGGTTGGAGGATAAGAGCGGTGGATTAAGATGTCAGTGGTCCAGTGGGTGGGAGGATTAATGGTGGATTAAGTTGGTAATGGTGAGGAGTAGTCGATGATGTTTTCAATGAAACAATGCAATGAACAAATTTATTGATTTCGGATATATGGAACACCATTACAGCAAAGTCGACGATATATAAAACAACACATACAATGTGATACATCTTCAGAGGTAACACCAACCAACACATTATAGTTCTACTACTGATTGTTAATACATCCAGAGGCGTAGCGACCCTTCCCTGCGCCCGGGGGACAAACTTTCAATTTGGCGCCCCCCCCATATATTGTTATATTTATAATGCAAAACTGCGGCTAAAATGAGCTTTTAATTTTTTTTCAACCCATTTTGGCGCCACCCTAGGTTTGGCGCCCAGGGACATATGCACCCCCTCGCTTCGCCTCTGAATACAACACACACGATCTTCTATCAGATGGTTTGCTAACATACAGAGATTTATTTGCTGAATGGGGGAACACAGTTAAAGTTGGAACAAAGATCGTTACAGCATTTCAGATTGCCGGGGCAGTTGTAGTCGTACTGGCACTGACGTACGGGAGGCTGGCAGTCTGAGGGGACGTAGGCAGGCAGCACGGCACAGTTACCAGGCTTATTGATTGGAACACACGAGAACGTGGGTGCCCGACAAGGCGGGGCGCGGCAGGGGGTGGCGTTTTCCTTGCAGACGTACCCGTCCCGGCAGCGCCCACATCTGTTCCTGGGCGGCGGGCAGACTGGGGTGGTGGGGAGGATCTCATGGTAGGGGAGGGTGGGGTCGGGTTTGCCGAAACAGCAGTTCCCCGACCCCATGTCGTCGGGGATGCAGACGGTGTTGTCGGGGCAGTTGGAGAGGTCATTGGGTACGTTAGGGTTACAGGTCAGCGCGGTCAATGACCTGGAAAAAATTGTGATTACACGTTAAGAATAGAAAGTCTCGTTTTAAAACGACGACCAATGTCATGTTTTATTAAAATAAACAATTTATGTATTGAAAATAGTTTGTAATAATATTTTGATTAAAAAAATGCTAATAAGTCAACTTTGACAATAATAGGGCTGGTAAGTAGGTCACCAACCAGTCCTACGGCCCAATAAAAACAGCATGAGCCATAGAGCTGGTTGGTGACCTACTTACCAGCCCTATTTCTAAACATACGACCCCCTCCCCCTTCCTTCTAACTTACAGCAGATGTAAAGTAATGAAAACCATCAGATTTATTTTATTATTATAAAAATATAAATCACAATTTAAAACAAGAAAGCCACTTAGTAATTTCAGAATAATTTAACATTTTCAAAGTAATTTTTACCTTTCGTAAATTATCACCCTAAATTACCTATGTGTACGTCTAAAGCTTGAAGCCCGCCTTAATCTATGATACCTATACTCAGTGGCGTAGCGAGGTCGGGTGTCACCCGGTGCGGCACTTAATGGTGTCACCCCCCAGAGGCGTAGCGACCCTTCCCGGAGACAAACTTTCAAATTTTCGATTTGCTTTGCACCCTCCCCCCCCCCTTCAAACTTTCGATTTGCACCCCCGCCCTCAAATTTTTCTCTATATATTTTGCTATTTTTTGCCTTGGTGTCACCCGGTGCCGTCCGCACACCCAGCCCCCCCCCCCCCCCCCCCCCCCCTCGCTACGCCTCTGCCTATACTCCAGCTAGGCAATGTCTTACATTTTTAAACTTTTGACCTCAAGTCATGTTGGTTCTACTTACCTCGGATCATAGGCGCTTCCCACAAGAACGGCATAAAAGTAGCGATTTCTGTTACACACAGCGTCCACTCCTATGGAGACCAAGATAAGACAAAAGACATTTTTTTAGTGTATCAAGTAATCAAGAGGGAAATCACAATCAACTACGGCATGTCATTGCACACACTACGACATAATTTGACGCGAAAAGAAATGTTGGGATATTATAAATATATCAATGGAATCATAAGATTTTAGAGCGGTGGTTCTTAAACTCCTGGGTTCCATCGAACCCCAGACGTTCGATATTAAAGTCAGTTTTAGGGGTTAGGTGGACGTCAAGACACACACCAGACTCATATGATTCCGATTGATAGAACTATTAAAACTATTGATGATTAAGACGGATTCGGTGACTGCGCTTATGAAACTGGTGGGGTTCCGTACCTCCAAAAAGGTTTGGGAACTACTGTTTTAAAGAAAATAAGTCGTTAAAGCATTGATTATTGAAATATAACTGCTTTTTTTCGCCCAAACTTCTTGAATAACAGTCTTGCTATGTAATGAAAATAAAGATTCAATTGAATGTTTTGACCCAATAACATAGGTCTTGTTCAGCCGATGTTAAAGTTCTATGATTGTGTTTATAGTTGGCTTACCTTTGGGTACACAGTCTAGACAGGCGCTCTGTGGGGGACATCTGAGACACTGCAGGACAACACGACAGATTGGCCGCTGGGACGAGCACAGGGTGGCCGCACACAGCTCATCGGTCCGTGGGCCATCGGCGGCAACTGATGCGATGATCTGTACAGAAAGTTGTGTTTTAATTACGTTAACTAATTGTTTTTACAAGCTTTTATTTAACTCACTTCCTCTGTCGTCAGGCTGTCGTCAGTCTGTCTAGATCGAAACGCCCGAGCGAAATTGCAGGCACTTCTAACAGACAGATACGGTTCGTAGTTGGTACGTGGGTCAAGACATGAAGACAATGCAACATGACAATAAATTTGACTTAATTGGTTGCCTGATTAATTTTGTATTTAGACATCAGTGAATGTCTTCTTTAGACCATTGGGCAGATGAAGTAGAGTTCATGATGTATCTTGACCTTGGTTTATGAAGGGATGGTGTGATCATCAATATTCTATTTAGACATTGGAAGTCTTTAAATTTCCAAACATCCGCAAATAGCGTTTTATTTTTTATCATTAACAGAGAGCAGTCCATGTTTAGATACTGTTAGAAACCCTGAATTCTGTCTTGTGGATATGGAAGCAGAATTTGTTTTAAAAAAAGAAATGGACAAGCCATCTATGTTTAGATGTGAAGGGAAGTTTAAAATTTTCCCCTCAGTTTTACTAGTCCCTTATGGCACGGCGTGGCTGGGGGTAGAACCAAATGCAAGTGTGTTCGGCTCTCGGACTCGATTCACTGAGTCCACTCAGCTTTAATGGGTACCTGACTCGGAATAAGATGGCTGGCGTAGAAATAACCAAATCATCCATCCACAAGTCGAGGCCACAGAAAGAGCTACACTCTACTTTATCTGCCATATTGAATTTCAGGACCGAAAGGGTAACTAACTTTTAAACATTAATTTATACTAATCCTAACGTAGAAGAAATAAATGAATTAGCTCAAAAATTACCAACGTTTGTATAATAGACTCAAACTCAAGCTAAGTTTAGTCATCCTAACTCTCGAACACACATTTTACACGTGACAGTCAAGATAAAATGGGACGGAGTGGTCTAGCGGTAGAGAGCTGGACTGTTAACCCGTACGTCTCGAGTTCGAATCCGGGTTCAAGTCAGTAGACCGTCCCTGAGTCCACCCAACTCTGATGGGTACCTAACTCACGTAGGGGAAAGTAAAGGCGGCTGGGCATAGTGCTGACCACACTATCTCTTCATATGCCGAGGTCACAGAAACAAGTCAACTCTACTTCACATGCCCCATAGGCTGTCAGGTTTGAAAGGGAAACTTTTTAGTCAAAATAAAAAGCCTAACATACAACTCAATGAGCTAACATACAACTTTTGAAAAAAACAATTCTACAAAGTCCCTATGTTGAGTGAAAATGTAAAAGTTTCTAGTAAGTCTAACAAACAATGTATCTTAGCTCAAACCCCAACAGCTAGAGGGAACAAATCCTCACAGCAATCACCATGGTAACGAAAGTACACACTTACCACACACAACCCTACACAAATGGCAACACAACCCCTCATCGTTGAACAGGTAGACAGGTAGATGTTAACAGTAGCTGGAGACTTAAGAAAAGATTGAACGACGAGCCTTTTATATACACACACTTGGGCTGTATTTCCCTAACGAGTGCATAGAAAAAAAAACAGTGACATAAATTAACAACAGAATCCGGGATGTAGTCTGATATGACATCTGATATGTCAGATGGGCGGGGCTTGCGAACTGTAGTGTTGGGTCAATCAATATTTTTGTAAATAGGTAACCTCCCCCTCCCCACCCCCGTATTGCAGATCTCGACATGGCTAACTCATAACCCCCCCATAGACCCCTCGGTATATAGAAAAAGTATGAGGGGTGGGTGCAAATCGAAAGTTTGAGGGGGGAGGGTGCAAATCGAAAGTTTGTCCCCGGGTAAAAATTGGAACCCCCCCCCCCTTGAGACGATCCTGGCTACGCCACTGCACCGAGTAGATTTGTTTAGTAGTTAGACTTAAGCGGTGTTTTAACTTTAAATTTACAACATAACGAAATAGCGTTACATAACCTTTTTTAAAGTCAGATTTTTAATTCACCCCTCTGTGACGTGAAATATGACGTGCCTGTTGCGTCTTGTTACAACGTGACGTCATTTATACGCCATATCTGCAATGAACCTTTCCGTTACATAATTATTGTAGGTCGTCGAATACATCCTTACGTATTCAAAATAAAAAGGTTACATATATCTAAACACTGTTAAAAGTATATATTTTCTATATAAATTACATAAATTTCATTTCGTTCGGGTGGGCGGTAAAAAATTTTCGGGGGGGGGGGGCTTCGCCACCCCGAAGAGATGCCTGGAAGAAACTCTGGGGGGGGGGGGGGGGGAGGGGGGGGCCGAAGTCTACCGCCCCCCCCCCCCCCCCCAAACGAAATGAAATTTATATAGAAAATATATACTTTTAACAGTGTCCCGTCCCCCCCCCCCCCGAAGAAAGTCTACCACCCCCCCCCCCCCCCCGCCGGAAAAAAAATGTCTGGAAGTAACACTGACCCTGACCCTAACCCCTATCCGTTAGTACTTGGCACTTGGGTTACCATCACGTAAACACAATGACCTAGTTCGCACAACCAAACAATATCCGGTTGACTGTGTTCAACAGTGGCTGTTGTTTTTTTCGTTCACTGGGTGACCCCGTATTTTTCTTGTAATTATGCAAATGAGGCTGTGACGTCATTAAAGATGGAAAGATAGGTAAGTGTACGCGGACTTGATTTCGTGTACTCGCCCAATCCATATTGGGAATTGCGTGGCCTAGTGGTAGTTCGCTAGACTGCTAAATCGAAAGTTTCGAGTTCGAATGCGGGTTCAAGTCAGTATAACGTCCCTGAGTCAACCCAGCTCTGATGGGTACCTTACTCACCTAACGGAAACTAAATGCGGCTGATCCCACTATGCCTTCAAATGCCGAGGTTAAAGAAACAGGTGAGCTCTACTTCACCTGATCCATGGACCGACATGTTCGAAAAGGATACTTTACTTGGTAAACAGAAAAAAGTCACAGGTAGAAAAACCACAGGAAAAGAAAACCACAGGAAAAGAGTCAGTTTTTGTTAGGAAAAGAAGTCACAAAAAAAAAGTCACAAATGTGTATTAAGAAATATTTTGATTTCCTTGAGAATTGTAAAATTTTGGGTGTTTTTACATTTAGGTGATGTATTTAGTAACATTTATAAATGTAAAATATAATAATAATCCGACTTTGATCTTAACAGTAAGTCACAGTACAAAAGATAATTTACACGTCACATTTTGTTACATATTTATTTAAATACCTTTAGAAAAATCAGTTATAAAAGAAATTTAGAAATATCATCCTGTTTTGTGGCTTTTCGCCTAAGGGTTTAGCTTTCGTCTTGCGGCCTAGTCAGTCCCAGAGGCGTCGCGAGGCGGGGGCGGTGGGTGTGGAGAGCACCGGGTGACATAATTTAGGGGGTGACACCAAGGCAAAAAATTGCAAAATGTAGTGAGAAAAATGCTTTTTTCCTGTTAAATTAATGATTAATTAGAGTTTAATAGTCTTTTAAGTACAAATTGACAATCCCAAAAAAACGGGAGGAGGGTGGTGACACCATGACTTAAATTTGCTAACTATGGAGAAAACAATGTGGTATTAATAACAGACTATAGATAAAAGTCCTTAGTATAAACTCTGAACACTTTAAATATATCACTCGGAGAGGGGGGGGGGGGAGGTTGACACCAACTGCAAAATTTAAAGAGAAAAACAAAAAAAAAGTTTTGTTATTATGACTATCACGTCAATCAACGACAGGGGTGCGGGTGACACCAAATCTAATTGTTTATTTTGAAAATTATGCTTTTTTTTCACTTGAAGTAATAGGCGGATTAAAATAATTACGTGCACAAATAGACGCATTTAGGCGAAATGTTAGGCAAGGGGGTTATACCAATCGCAACTTTCACAGACAAGCAATTTTACTAGAACAAAATAAAAGGTAAAAAGCTGCTAGCGTATTCAAACGTTGGACAAATCTCATTGGTCTATAGAAATAATTTTCCTATACATTAGATATATAGTTCGTAGTTTAAACCAAAAGAGCGTAGAAAAAAAAACTATATAAAATACATATACACATACATCTACGTGGATATGGCATATATTTAAATTATAGGCCTCAGTAGGCTTACACACACACACACGCACAAACACACACACACGGTGGGGTGGGGGAGGGGGGTGACACCATAAGGTGCCGCACCATGTAACACCCGACCTAGCGACGCCACTGGTCAGTCCACATTGTGCACTGTGGACGTTGGGCTTTTGTACCTTGTTAGCTTGATCTTATTCTTTGTGTTGTTATGAGCGCGATAAATGTCGCAGGAAAAAGGTGGCTAAACAAAAGTTGGGACGAGTTGAGGACAGCAATTCAAATTAATGTATTCTTCCCAGTTCACGCTGATTCAAAGTTTGTATTTTAAAAATAAGATAAAAACTGAGTAGATTGGAACATTCAACTTAATTCTATAACGGAATTAAAACCTACATACTTCAGACTAAATATTTTTTACGTGTGTTACCTTACATATTCAACCTACTCTCACATTTCTAAAATGTTTAAATTACATTTAATTTATCGTATGTTGATTTGTCCTTTCTGTAAACATAAGACTATTATCAAACTCCATGCATATACACATTTGTAACTTTTTTCCTGTGACTTTTATCTTAGACTTTTTTTTGTGTTTTTTGTGTTTTCTTTTCCTGTGACTTCCCCCCCCCCCCTCCCACCTACAATCCTTTACTTTTAATCCTTTTGATAGTCTGCGTCCTGTTTTCTTTCATTGTTGTTTATTTTTCTATGGAGAATCAAAGTACCGTTCGCAGATGATATCTTTCAGATATTTGCAGACCAACTTGTCTTAAACAGCCGTAGAAGACATCTTTAAGACAATGATACGAAAGATCAGTTACACATTTATTGACATTTCCAGACCAATTAACAGA